AGTAGTACATGATAAAAAGCCGACTTTCTCGCCGGCGATAAAATGACAGATAAGACATTTTCAAAATTCGCATGAGAAAACGTCAGGATAATCTTCTCGAAACAATTTTCAAAACAAAATATCTTAGGCACAACAAGACGACTCGCCTTTCGGCGACACCACCCCTATGTCCTCGACCTGGTGACCTCCCTCCAATTCTCTCCAGGTCATCCTCCCTAGCTGATGCCGGTATCGACAACACGAAACAACAGCTTAGAAGATTCGCGAAGATCAGCATATTACAGGAAATCGAAGGGCAACTGGACAAGGCGAAGGGGATTTAGCCTCCAACTTCGCTTCCTTGTTACTCGCTCCTTCTTCCTTTTGCAACACATAAACATGTTAACTCACCGTGTGCAACAGGGGCTTTCTGATCATCCATATCCCATCAGTGCTGAGAAAATCGCATGCTGAATTCCTGTTGTCTTTGCGTTTGCTTGAATTGTTGCGTAGTTGAAGTAGCGTATGTGCCGTCTTTGGCGTTGAACGTTGCTTTTTCAGTTGGCGTGGAAAGGGCAGTGTGGAAGTCTGAATTTAATTTCAATCGTTGTGACAATATTTTCAACAATACACGGCTCTGATCTGGACACTTTTCCCCGCTCCAGTTCCACCTGTGGCGAAATGTAAATGGACTCGTCATTCCGTTTAAAATGTGCAACAATGTGCATTATGTAATCTCTCTGCTCAAAAGTCGGCGTGCTGAACACTTGCTCAACTTCCACGCTTGAAACTTGATTTGGCAGTTGGAAGCTTTCTACACACGGTCTGCGTCCGTGCCGTTCACCGACAATGTGCAGCACACCTTGATCCTCGACGTAATAATTGTCGAAATCAATTGTTGGTGCGGTACAATTGTGGTGTAAGTTGCTGACTTGTCGATTCTAGTTCTCATAACCAGTGAGTTACATGTCGCGAAATTGGCCGTAATTGACTAAAAACAAGCAACTTGGTGTGCCATAACGTTCTGCATCGTTTTTTCGCGGTCAGTGAGGATTTATTATTGAGATCTCAAAGGGGTATATAGTGAAAGGAGACTGTAGTAATGGAGAAGAAATTGAAATTTTAAAACTGAAATCACAGTTGATTAGTGAAGGAGGGTAAAGGTAAATTTTACGACATCCTGTCCCAGCATTTTGAATAATATCTGTGAATGCTGACAAAGACGAGAACGTCATTTTCCTCTACAATATTGAGTAAGAAAAATAGAAATAGGAAAGAGGGTAGAAGAGGATAGGAGAAAAAGGAAAGAACTGAAATTACTCATATAAAAGCGCCGTTCCACTGAAACTGGGTACAGGAAAAAGGTTAAGAATAAGAAAGCGGACAGGCCTTTTTAGTATAGTAGCTTGTATACGTGTTTGTAATAACAGAATTCAGTGCCCCTCTCAAAATATTGGTATAAAAATTGGCTGCCTTTTTTCCAGTGTTATCGGATTTTTTGCTGATGGAATAAAAAGAAATACAATTTTGCCTTTGTACTGTAAATTGTGCAAGAGATT